GGTCCAAGATTATCTTCTGTGTCTGTGTTAATTGGTTTCCCTTTTCTTTGTTGAAGAGGGTCTGTGCAATCCTTCTGCCTAGTCCGCCATCTTGCCCCACCTCTCTCTTCAGTAAGATTTTACTTGTGTGCAATATTAATATTGTTCAATAATTTCCACATTCTGTGGGATCACCTTTCTTCGGAATGGGTACAAACATGGATCTTTTCCAGCCAGTTGGCCAGGTAGCTGTCTTCCAAATCTCCTGGCATAGCCGAGTGAGTACCTCCAGCATGGCATCTGTATATTGAAACATCTCAATGGGTATTCCATTAATTCCTGAAGCCTTATTTTTTGCCACTTCCTTCACTACAGCTTTGACTTCTTCCTTCAATACCATTGGTTCTTGATCATATGCCACCTCCTGAAAGGGTGAACATCAACCAATTCTTTTTGGTACAGGGACTCTGTGTACTACTTTCATCTTCTTTTGGTGTTTCCTGCACTATTCAATATTTTGCCCATACAATCTTTCAATATTGCAACTCAAGGCTTAAATGTTTTCTTCAGTTCTTTCAGCTTGAGAAATGCCAAGCATGTTCTTATCTTTTGATTTTCTAACTTCAGGTCTTTGCACATTTCATTATAACAATTGACTTTATCTTCTCGAGCTGCTCTTTGAAATCTTCTGTTCAGTTCTTTTACCTTCTCATTTCTTATATTTGCTTTACCTACTCTCCATTCAAGGACAAGTTTCAGATTCTCTTATGACATCCATTTTGGCCTTTTCTTCCTTTTCTGTCTTTTTAATGACCTTTTGCTTTCCTCATGGATGATGTTCTTGATGTCATTCCCCAATTCCTCTGGTTTTTGGTCATTGGCATTCAATGCATCAAATCTATTTTTCAGATGGTCTCTATGTTCAGGAGGGATATATTAAAGGTCATATTTTGGCTCTTGTGGACTTCTTTTAATTGTCTTCAGCTTCAACTTGAACTTGCATATTAGCAGTTGGTGGTCTGTTCAACAATCAGCTCCTGACCTTGTTTTGGCTGAAGATACTGAACTTCTCCATCACCTCTTGCCACAGATGTAGTCAATCTGATTCCTGTGCATTCCATCTGGCGATGTTAAAGTGTATAGCTGCTGTCTGTGTTGTTGAAAAAACGTGTTTGCAATTCATAAATTGTTAGTCTTGAAAAATTCTCTCATGCCATCTCCAGTGTTATTTCTATCACCAACGCCAAATTTTCCAGCTATTGGTGATTCTTCTTTGCTTCCAACTTTTGCATTCTAATCACAGCACATATTGATTGCATGTTCAGTCACTTTCAGACTGTAGACTTTGATAAAAATCTTAAATTTCCTCATCTTTTCTTTGGTGTTTGGTGCGTAAATTTGATTAAGTAATATTAACTGGCTTTCCTTGTAGTCATATGGATATTGTCCTATCACTGACAACATTGTCCTTCAGCATAGATCTTGAAACATTCTTCGTGATGATGAATGCCACTCCATTCCTCCTCAATCTGTCATTCCCACCATAGTAGATCATATGGTTGTCTGATTCAAAATGGCCAAAACTGGTTCATTTCAGCCTAGGATATCAATCTTTAAGGATTCCATTTAATTTTTGACAACTTCCAATTTTCCTAGAGTCATACTTTGTACATTCCATGTTCCGCTTATTAATGGATATTTGCAGCTGCTTTTCCTCAATTTGAGTCATACCACATCAGCAAATGGAGGTCCTGAAAGCTTTACTTTATCCATATAAGTATTTACAACTTAGTACCGAAATTTCCACAGGAACAACTGTGAGACGGTGTAGGACCAGGCAACGTTTTGTCCTGTTATACATCTGTTATTTATACATATGGTCACAGGTATTAGAGCCAACTGGACAGTAACTAATACAACATCTGAGGGTAACTAACACAACCACAATGAACAGGAGCCTGAAAAGGCTGGACAGTCAATACAGAAAGTTGCAAAGTTCCCTCCCTCTGTTGATATTCATATTATCATATTCATAATATCAGTTTGGCTTTGGACTAGATTGAGTAGAGAACTGCTGAGGAAGAAGAGGGAGATTGCAAGATTGTTTATGATCAGAGCACATTTCATTGATGTGCAGTGTGCAGAGCAGTATGCAGAGTGCATTTCATCACAAGGAAGCTTCTTGACTTTTTGCAGTTGAAAGAATCAGACCATGATTTAGAAGAAAACAGCAATTTTTTCTTTTTTTCAAAGAGTAACTACTTAATAACAAAAAAAAGTCAAGCTGATAGATTAAGACATCTGAAGCACCTGCATTGGACTGTTATAAACTCTTAACTTTTACTTTTGGGACATGAAGAATTAAGGTGAAAATAATTATATTTAAAAGAAATTGATGAAATTTGGATAGAACTTTGAGGAAATCTTTTATTGTAAAGTTCTGTATGACAGAATATATGCTAAAGAGAGATGTTTGACCCATAGTACTATTTTAATCGAATAATAAGGGGCAGGGGCAAAGTAGATGAAAAGGAAAATTTTACACTTTCTTAGGCTCCTGTAGCCAGAAGATAGTTTTTTAGCTCTATAACCACCTTGAGCATTCATTGATGAGTAGATTAATTCAGATGCAATAATAATAAATAGCATACACTTGCACCCTTTTACATAAAAGGGTGACATGTTTCTGGGTCTTTCATGTATTTTAATTTAATCTTCACAATAACCTTATGACATATCAAATATTATTATGCCTCTTACTCATGTGGAGACTGAGGGACTCAGAAACTTGCCTAATGAAGCAGCAGAGCTGGGGTGTGAAGCCAGTGTGTCTTAGTGCAGAGTACATCCATTACCCACTGCACCATATTGCCTCTCAGATTCATGCCAATGTGGATCATCATTAAACCAGTGGAATGGCTCTTTTATTTCTATTACTATGAAACAATTTAGTCTCAAAGGGTATTAATGAAAGGAAAGTAGTTCAGAATATTACTATTTCCTTAAATACTTCACACCTAAAGTACAGGCAACTACATGGCCAGGTTATTGAAAGGAGAAGAAAAAAAATACTGTTAACTGCAAAATGGACTGGCTTTACAAGATATTTATGATGTACAATCATGGTAATTCTGAGTGAACTTACCTTATTTTGTGTTTCCCAGGATGCTTGAAATAGAGCTCTTTTCTGTCTCCTCCTTCTAGGAATACATATTCAATGCAGGATATTAAGATATTAAACTCCAACACTAATATTGTTCCAAACACTCTATGCCTCACTTGTACCCCAAGCCCATATATACTTCCTAGTATGTGTTGACATAGTTATCCTCAATTGCATTTTACATACTTACTTAAAATTCTATTAACCTGATTTTTTTTCCCACTTTCCTTACCGTCTCCAAAAAAGCAAAGATGTCATTTTAAAGACTAAGCTTTGACTGACCCAAGCCACGGTATTTTCAATAGCCTTATGTGAAAAATGGACAACGATTAAGGAAGACCAAAGAAGAGTTGATGCATTTAAATTGTGCTGTTGATGAAGAATATTGAATATACCATGGACTGCCAGAAAAATGAACAAATCTTTCTTGGAAGAAGTACAGTCAGAAGGCCCCTTAGAAGTGGGAATGGCCAGACGTCATCTCTCATATTTTGATCATATTATCAGAAGAAACCTGGCCCTGAAGAAGGATAACCTGCCTGGTAAAGTAGAGCATCAACACAAAAGGTGAAGACTGTCGATGAGATGGACTGACACAGTGGCTACAATGATGGATTCAAGCACAGAATGATCGTGGGGTGACACAGGACTGAGCAGTGTTTCGTTCTGCTGCACATGAGGTCGCTATGCTGATTCGATGGCACCTAACAACAACAACACTTCTCCAAGATGGTTACAGATGGTGAAGGCAATTAAATGGGTATCCAGTTAGTGTACATTAGTTATTACTTTGAATGATTTTACCAAAGAATGGGGTCTGCTCATAGCCTAGGACTTAGAGATTTTCCACAAGTAAAACCTTCTAAATTCCAACAATATAACTTTCTGGATGACAATGATAATAACTCTTAAACTTTACAGAATCTTTCTGTTGTTATTCTAAACCATCTGTGTGTGTTATTTTACTTAGATTTCATCACTGCCCTATATTTAACAGATTAGGAACTTGAAGCTTAAAGAAGAACAGTTTCCCCAAACCACATGGTTGGTCAGTGGTAGTACCAGCATTTGGACCCATATCCTTCTCTCTTGACTAGTAGGCTCCAACTCTTCTGGGAACACTTCCTGGTGCTGAATATGGAACTACACTATTAAATGAACTCTCCACAGTTCCAATGAAGTCTATAGAAACCTAACTTCAGGAGGAGTCGTAGAAGACAAAGCACAAAAGAAGAAAAGTGGCAACTGCTGTTGAAAGTAACAGAAGAAACAACCACATCCAAGTATGGTGAAACCTGCAAAAGCCAGAACATTGGTAAGGCAGAATCCTGTCAAGAAGGAAAAGTCTTATATTTTCCACTAAAATAGCAATAGAAATGTGGTCAGATCACACTCTGTGACAGACAGAAAACTTGCAAGACCCGGAAAAATAAGGTAGTCTCCTGGAGTTTGGGCTCTCTCAGGTCTCACTGTCTAGGGGAAGAGCTGTGGGGAGATGCTGACTATGTTTCTTCTTCCTGAAGAGAAGAAAAGGTTCTTGTTGAACTATGGAGAAAATGGGTTACATGCAAAATGTAAAGTTTTTTGTTTGTTTTGTTTCTTATTTAAGATGAGGTTGTAATTCCGCCGTGAAAAATCTGGTGAGATAATCTCTATCCAAGGAAAGGTTGTCCAGCTGATGTGTGCAGACCTCTGATGGCTTCTAGTCACTTTGCAACCCCAGTGCAATGTCAATAGAATCGCAAAGTCTCTTTAGCAAAATGGCCAGATGAACATGGCAATTAACAAAGGTTTCTATATAAATGGTGACCTCCAATATTGATTGGATATTATTGTATGCAACACATGTTTCTAGGTATTTTATAGAGAATAAGTAATTTAATCATGAAACAAAATCTACACTATAAATGCTATTACTATCCTCTTTTTTACAATGAGACACAGGTTATGGTTCACAAGGCTGGCTACCTCATGATCTCAAGTTAACTTGCCCGAACTGATCCAAATGGAAAATTCCCCAAAGTGAGTGCTCAGTGCTAGCCTAAAAATGAGTGTAGACTGTGATGAAGAGAAGGGAACACGGAGCTTAGAGTCAGATGATCTGTGTTTATGCCCTGGTTTTCTAGCTCAGATACTAACATCTCTAAAGTCCAGTCCTCTCCTCTGTCAAATGAAAATAATACACACACTACAGATTGTTCCAGCTTGCCCAACCATCCCAGTTTGCCTGGAATGGAAGTGTTACATGGGACATTAAATGGAGAAATGGGGAATGTCCCAGGCAACAGGGACAAGTTGGTCACCCTGTTTGCTGTGAACATCAAAGGAAACAACATAAAAATCAGGACGGAACATTTTGCAAGGACTCACTAAATGCTAACTATATTTTATATTTAGCCCCTCACGTGCCTCAGCACTGCACATGCCCCCGGCCACATCTGCTAATTGTGCTCCTGCTCTTTTCAGTAAGTGGCAATGACACAGACCACTGCTCCACTGCTCCCAACCCCGGCTCCAGCACTGGCTGTGAAGTGAGCGCTTGCGGGCCTGGTACCGGTCTGACCTCATGTGTCTTCCATCCCCATCACCGCACATGAAGCTGCAGAGTTCAGAGGAGAATGACTAACCCTAGGATTACTTTGACAAACATTCTCATTTGAAGTAACAACCACAAACTGATATTAGTACCAAGGCAGATAAAATAAGCTCTTTTCCCTCTGGAGTTCTTCCATCCACTAACCCTCTTGCCACATTTAACCATGGGGGACAGTACAGTCTACACTTCAGTCTAGTTACTCATGTATAAGTGATGCATGTTCATGATTTAACATCATCATGTCTGACATCGGTGACCTGCAGACAGCCATGCTGTAACTCTCCCACGCTTGGTCATGGCACCCATGGCCCTGTGGCTCTCCCAGCATCTCTGCCCGACACGCACTTTTCTCACCCAAGGCGAAACAGCAGAGAAAGCCTTAATGTCACCAACAACCTGGGTTCTTGCCCGAATTTGCTGAATTCTGATCGAGGAGAGTTAAGGGTAGCCCATGGTGGACAGAAATGTAAAATGACCATTTCATGCTTCAGTTTAATTCAGGGCTTCAAATCCATTCAGCCCAGTTCAGTCACGGCCAATAAACTAACAGAATGGACCTGTGGGTGAACCAGAGCACTAACTGGAATGGGGAAAATTATGAGTCAACCATGAATATATTTATAGGTTTGGCAGAGGATATTTCTACATTATGTATTTGTATAGACTGTAAATGCATACAAGGATATTGTACAACACACTGCCATTGAGTAGGATCTGATTCATAGCGACCCCTCCTTGGATTTCTGAGGTGGTATCACTATGGAAGAAGATTTCCCAACCTTCCTTCCAAGGAGTGGCTGGTGGGTTTGAACCGCCAGCCTTCTGGTTAACAGTCAAATGCCTTAGGCACTATGCCACCAGAGCTCCTATTGTACAGCATACAGGGGGCAAAGTTCTGAAAACTTCTTAGCCATAACCACACACCTTGAGGGAATGACTCTCTGGGCTACGGGGCTTAGGGCCACAGTCTTGGGGGACAACTAGGTCCACTGCATAACATAGTCCACAAAGACAACATTCTACATCCTACTTTGCTGAGTAGCAACTGGGGTCTTAAAAGCTTTTGAGCAGCCATCTAAGATGCAATTATTTCTTTCCCAACCAGATCAAAGAAAAGTTAAGAAAATCAAAGGCTAAAGGTAAAAGTTAGTTCAAAGGACTAATGGATCACGTGAACCATAGCTTCTACTACTCAGAGACCAGAGGAACTAGATGGTCCCCAGTTACCATGACTGATTAACTCTGATCAGGATTACAACAGAAAATGCTGGATAGAAATGGAGAAAAAAAGAAAACAGAACAAAATTAAAAACATAGAAAAGACCAGACTTAGTGGTCTGATAGAGATTAGTGGAATTCCTGAGACTGTGTCCCTTAGACACCCTTCAAGCCTGGAATCAAACCCATCCCAAGGATCAACTTTCAGCCAAATGATAGACAAGCTTATGAAGTAAACAGCAACACTAGGGAGGAATGGACTCCTCAGTACGTTTAACCATACGGGACCCAAAGGGCAGTATTTGCCCCCAAACAAAGCTCAGATAGCAGGAAGGGATAGGAAAGAAGGACCGATGGCAACAGGGAACCCAGGTGGAAGGGAGAAAAGTGTTGACACATTGGGGGATTGCAACTAATGGCACCAAAGAGAATGTTTATAAATTTTTAACAGAAATCTAATTTGCTCTGTAAACGTTCATTCAAACTACAATTAAGGGGAAAAAAAAAATTACAACTTAAAATGCTGCTAGAAATTTAATCTCCATCTTAGAAAACAAAGGCAGAATTTACATTGCGTAGCAACCAACTCTCTTGCTCAGTTGAGTCTAAAACAGAGTGCCCAGCTCAAAGGTGGTGGCCTACTGTGCCACGCCACTTAGAATGGGTGCTACTCTCTAGACGCCTGGCAGTAATCCAGTCTCCCACACCAGGCTCCTGCAAGGGCTCACAGTGTGTATTCTGAGTCTTCCATTTCAGGACTGCCACCTGTAATTTTTCCCATTCTGCTTAGCATTATGGATCACCTAGACTTTAAAATTCGGGTCTGTTCCAGTTTTGCTTGGTTAACCATGACTGAACAGGTTCAAAGCCCTGATTTTATTAGACAAAGGCTTACTAAACATCCATTATTTGGATTGTAAGTGCTAAATGCTGTGAAACTCTAAATGATTAATGAAACACAATCCCTGTCATTAGAGACAACAGGGAAGACAAGCATGAAAATCGTTAAAATACAAAGCAGGTTGGGAGGAGGAGCAGGTAAGATGGTGACATCATGACTGCAGAGAGGGAGGAACAGGTCAGACCTCAGAGCAGGAACACACGCCCTGCACTTGGATTATGTAGAGTCAGGGTCAAATATGGAAGAAGCAGCATTTGGCAGATACCCAATGGGAAGAGAGTTGGGTGCAGTCAGTGAAAAAGTTCTATTTTTAACAAAATTTTTCAATATCCAGGGAGTAAGTAAATTAGAAAATACGAACAGAAAATGAGGCTGGGGTCAGAGTCTAGATGACGGCAGTGACAGTGTTAATGAATTTTCACTGTGCTGGAGGCAATGGGAAGATTTTAAAAAATAAAAAACCTTTTTAAACAGGAAGATGGCACAACCAGACTAGCTTTTAGAAGAAGAACCAGGACAAATTGGACAGTTAGAAAAAGAGGAGCTGCCTGAGAGAAGGAGACAAATCTGAGAGCAGACGGGAGAGTATTACAGAAAACCAGGAGAGTACTGATCAGGGCCCCCAAGAGGCAAAGGCTGCCACCTGGAGAAGAGATGGTGGCTGGGCAAGGCCCTAGAAAGCCGCTGAGCAGACCTACATGCCTGTGTCTTGGGGCTGAGTGTTTTTGTAATGTTTTGGTAATATTACTGGTGGAGAAGAATGAAGATAGATACACTCATTCACTAAACAGACATAACTTTTGTCTGTAGTGTGCCAGACCCTCAAAACATGGGCATCAAACATTTGGTCCCTCCCTCTCTTAAGAAGGTAAACCTTGGTTGAAACATGAATATGAGGAGCAATTCCAGCCCAATATGGTCACAGTTAAGAAGTTCAACAAATATCTAAAAAAAAAAAAAAAAAAAAAAGCAGGTGGTGGTGGTGGTGGTGGTGGTGGTGGTAGTTGATAAACACAGGAGGAAAGGAGCCATGGTGGCACAGTGGTTAAGTCAAACGACTGCTAACCCAGAAGGTTGGTGGTTCAAACCAACACGAGCTGCTCCGCAGGAGAAAGACATGGCAATCAGCTTCCATAAAGATTTACAACATTGGAAACCTTATGGAGGAGCTCTATGCTGACCCATAGTGTTGCTGTGAATTGACTCAATGGCAACAGGCTTGTGTTTTTTTATTTTGAAATATGGAAGAGGAAGAAAAGGTCTATGGACAATATTGCAGAAAATTCCCAAGTATTCCACAAGTTGGAAAAAGTGAAATACTTTCTAAACCCAGTGACTTCAAGTTGATTCTGACTCACAGCACCCCTACAGGACAGAGTGGAACTGTCCCATCGGATTTCCAAAGCTGTCACCTTTATGGAAACAGACTGCCACATCTTTCCTGTGGAGTGGCTGGTGGGTTCGAAGTGATAACCTTTGGGTTAGCAGCTGAGGGCTTATTAACCACTGAACCACCAGGGAGGCCAGATGGCAACAAATCCTACTAAAGCCATCCCCTGTCTAACTCCTTTAACTCTCAATACAACAACAATAACTCATTGCCATCAAGTCCTTTTCAAGTCATCGCGACCCCTCCTTGGGTTTCCAAGGTGGTATCTCTACAGTAGATTGCCCAGTCTTCCTTCTGAGGAGTGACTGATGGGTTTGAACCATCAGCCTTGTGGTTAGCAGTCAAATGCATTAGGCACTCTAATAATAGTACCTTGATTGCTTGTTTCAGAGCATATACAATAATTTTATGTTATTTGCCTTCCAGAATATGAGTTTCATAACATCTTGTTCACCACTTTGTACAATTTATGTTTGATAAATAAAGAAACACAGATAATATAACTGTTAAACCTTCTTCCCCTTCCAAAAATTAGACAACCATTAATCAACAACTCAATCCATTTCTCTCTCTCTCTCTTACACACACACACACACCACACACACACACTCCACCCTCTCCCTCTTCAGGTTTTTCCTGGGGAGGAGGAAAATGGAGAGGGACAAAGATGGAGCAGAACGCATCAGGCAGTTGGCTGCCCAGAATATGTTAACACAGGGCAGACTGCCAACTCCCACTAATTTCTAAATGAATGACTCTAGCTTCCTCCTCTAATACCATTACCACAACTTCTCCTTTTTGTAAGAACAATATTCAATACAATGTATGTGAGTCCCAAGACAGGTTGAGAAACTACTGGATCATCAACAGAGACCCTATCACATCAAAATTACCCATCAAAATTACAGAGATTTAGGGTAAGTTGCAATACTCACCTGTTACAATAAATGACAGCGATGATGGCAATTAGGGTAACCAAGAGCAGTAAAACTGTCCCTCCAGTCAAGAAGAGGACATATCGAGTATTGGTAATACCTAAGAGAAAAAATAATAATATGGCAATTAGGAACTCAGCTACAACTAGGATAAGGGAAGGCATGGAACTGAGGAAGGGCCACCCAGTATAGGGCTACCCAATGCAAACTAAAATCTAATAAAAAATACTCTCAATTTACTGCCTTCAACTCAGATCCAACTCATAGCAACTCCTTCTTGGGTTTCCAAGGAGGTATCTCTATGGAAGTAGATTGCTCAACCTTCCTTCCGAGGAGCGGCTGGTGGGGTTGAACCACAGCCTTCTGGTTAGCAGTCAAGTGCCTTAGGCACTATGCCACCAGAAGTAGTAAAAAATAGGAGATAAAAGAAAAAGACATTTTTTTTTCTTATAGAATTCCCTAAGTATTTCTGACTCTTGACACATTTGTGTTAGGGCCTTCCTCCAGCAGAATCTACTGTCTTAAAGAGCACATGGACAGGAGGTAAGTGGGAGACCAGAACCACTTCATTACAACCAGTGCCTGACCACAGACACAAACTCTTCTGTAGAAAAAAAGAAAATGATCAAAACCTCACGTAACTAAGTGTTCCTTTTATATCTTATCTTCATGTCCATTCAACGCAGAGCCATGTGTAACTTTGCTGTTTACAAGGAGAATTTTAAGAAGTATTTTTCCTCCGTTTGAATCAAAGATAAAAATAAGCAGGGAAAATGTGTGACTTGAGCTTGGTCTCCAGCCGAGAGGAGCAGCGGGGAGCACTGGTCCCCATCTGAAGCCCTCACCGTGGTCTTTGCCCTGGGTCACTGTTTGACTTCCGGTGAAGCCCTTCCCCTTTGCTGCATTCCTGTCTCCGGGGTGGCGATGACGGCAGTTCTGATTACATCACAAGGTGGAAGTAGGAATGGAATAAGGCGGCATCCTAAAGGACAAGCAGCCACCAGAGGGGCTTTGCAGCCGCAGGGTGAGCTCAGCCCGCTCACAGACAGAGCCGGTCTCCTCTACACCCTCCTCCCCACGGCGCGTCTCCCCGCACTGGTGACAGATGACAGATGGCCTTGTAGGGTGTTTTACACAAAGAAGAAACTCGATAACTTTGTGTTGTTGAGAATGGAGTTGAACAGAACCCTAAGCAAGAGTTGCCTTTATTGCCATCTCTCTTTGGGACCCACAACCCATCTGACCGTTCGATGTACTGCATGTTGCTCTGATGCTGGGAGCTTCCAGTATCGGAGCTTCAGACTAAGCCAGACTGAGCAGAAAGGCCTGCTGCTCTATTTCTGAAGATCACTCAATGAAACTATGGATCACAATGGCGTGCTGTTGGGTATAATGCTGGAAATGAGCCCCCTGGACTGCAAGGCACTCAAAAGACAGTGGCTGCAACAATGGACGCAAACACACCAACAACAAGGAAGATGGTGTGGGACCAGACAAAGTTGTGTTCTGTTGTACACGGGTCACTGGAGGCAGAGCCACTTCGTGGTAACTAGCAGATAAATCCTTCAGCCTCTACCCAGCCCGCCAGTATCAACCCAGTTTCTGTCCTTCTCTCTCAGTACTCTCCTAGTCTCCACCCCCTGATTTCCACTTAGACACTTTGTGTCCTTTCCCGCCCTTCAGGTGCCCCCGCCCCCATACCCCCAGTTTCCTGCCATGAAGCTGCCCCCCACCCTCGGTTTCTGCTTGGATCTTTGTCTCCATCCCCAGGCTTATCTTGCCCCCACCCTCCCTTGCGTTTAGTTCCTCTTCAACACTTAGGATTGGTTCTTTTGAAACAGGCAATTGACCTCCTGCATCAAAACACTACTTAAGCACCCTGTGGAGACAGGATCAGGGCTGATGCTACTCTAAGCGTCAACGCATCCACTGCTCGGATGATTTAATTAAAAAAATAAATAAATACAGTTAAAACAATTCACCCTGGTCTTGTTCCTCACAGCATATGACACCTAACAGACACCTAACAGTAACGAAATGCAAAATTCTATGGGAGAACAAATTTCCAAGTCTCTCCTGACAAGTGGGCAAGGCTTGGCCAAAGACAACAAAAGTCTCCTAACTTATAATGAAAGCTCCAAACGCAGTGCCGGTATGTCTAGAACTCCGTTGCGTTTCGATCTGAAAACCCTGCTTTTTGACTGATCCTCCCCCCTCCCCCATCTTCTGTTCCGATGATTACCTCCTTCCTCATCCATTATTTAGCTGCATTTGTTTTTCATGATAAGACCTCAAAGTAGGGCCCCACTCTTTCTTTTGTAAGCTTGACTGCAAAATCCAGGAAAAAATAGGAACATCATGCTCACTTTTTAAATCTGTTTAACCTGTAAGGTGAAGGAAAGCATGAAACATATGAACACTTCAAAGACTTTATACACAGTCGGAGAAAGGCTTTTGTCCAAGTATGACAGGGAGAGGGAAAGCTAGATTTAGTCAGAATAAAAATAAATAGATCAGGGACGCACCAAAGGAAAAAGGAAATTTCTCCCCATCAAATAAGAAATTAACCCTTCTAAGCCCTCATCACATTATAAATAAATAAATAAATAAACAAAATACTTGAAATTCTTTTGCATGATAATATACTACCAAATGACCTCACTTGTTACTCCTAAGGACCCTGTGATTAACAAAGAGTTAACACACTCTACACTCCTAGGAAGGAAGATGGGGCAATCTACTTCCTAGTGATACTGCCTTGGAAACCCAAGGAGGGGTCGCTATGAGTTGGGTCCGACTCCACGGCACATAACGACAACAACACAACACAACTGCTGCCCAAAAGGTTGCAAGTTTGATCCCACTCACAGGTGCCTCAAGAGAAAGTTCTCATGGTCTACTTCTGAAAACTCAGCCACAGAAATCCTACAGAGCCTAGCTCCCTCGGACCCACATGGGGCTGCCAGGAGCCGAGTGGACGCCACGGCAGCCAGTAACGGGTCAGACCTGACTAACTTGAAGGTTACACAATCACGGCCTTGGTAGAGACAAAAATAAAGTTATGATTTAAAAAATTCATTGGCATTCTTCAGGGAAAACTTTTTTTTTTTTTTTTGAACTACTGTTTAGGTCTTTGTTAAGCTTAATACACTGAAAATAATTCTGGATGGGTTAGAAATCTACATTTTGTAATGTGAACAGTAGAAGAAAAACAAATGAATATTAGTCTCTGGGATGAAAAATGACTTTACAATTTGTCAAAATGAATAAATCAGACTGACTAGGTCAAAATGAAAAATATCTGTATGTCAAAATTAGCACCCCCTCCAAAAACAAGTCAGTACCTGTAACCTACCCTCACTATTGAAAATAAGTTGTATAAGACAGTAAGAAAGGTACAACTTCTTAAGAAATGCACTGAATAAGTTTATATAAAAGGAAAAGCACACCGAGGTAGACAATTTCAAGCACCATTAAACCCACTCATGGCCATCACCTCGATTCCGACTCTCAGTGACCCTGTAAGACAGAGCAGAACTTCCCCATAGGGTTGCCAAGACTGTAACCTTTACGGAAGCAGACTGCCTCATCTTTCTCCCATGGAGCAGCTGGTGAGTTTGAACCACTGACCTTTGGGTTAGCAGCCGCATGCATTAGCCACTGCACCAGCACAGCCCCTTCAAGAACCACTAGGGGCAGTAAATGCTGCTGTCATCTGTGCCTGGAAAGAACTCTGTCACTGCGTGTCACACCCTTGACCTGGGCACTTGCACCTTCAATTAATTACTTGAAGGAAGTAATTAGAAATGCCAGCAAAGAGTTTTGTGTAGTAAAAAAGAGATGTCTTATTTCTGAAAAGGAAGACTATGCCCCGGTGGCTCTGACACTGAACGAGCATCACCATCATCCAGGGCCTGTTCTCATAGATTGCTGGTCCACCATCAGCCTAGCTGGCTCATGTGGCTGCTGGATCCAAGAGTTCGCCTGCTTCACAGTTTCCAGGTGATGCTTATGATGCGGATGTGGGACCCACTCTGGGAATCGCTGCCACAGACATTAGAATGGTGTTTGTAAAGAATTTTAAAGAACTGGGAAAGTGCTGACTATAGATTCAAATTAAGAACAATTTCAAAAGCCGATTCACAATGGCATGCGGGTGCTTTCTTAATTAGGGCGGAGAATGTGTGGGGGCAGGGGAGCCTGCAAGGCAACATACCAACATATGAAGTCCAGGAAGGAGAATGAAAAGTGATTGTTTTCTTTAGGCTATTCAGTTTTTTCCCAAATATCCTACATGATGCACTGCTTTAGTAATCAGGGAAGAAAAAAAAAAAACTGCAAACTGCATGCCTAGAATAATCTACCAACATTGGTGCTTATGTAAAGGGCAGGGGTCAGAGAGCTGCTGCTCAGGGAGGAAGACACAGAATCAATCCATTGTGGTCCACCAGGCATACTTCACTAAGCTCTGTAGAACATGAATTTAGATGGAGGATCCAATTGAAAGCATTTGTCACCCTGGCTAACTATAAACCCAAATTTCAAATGTCCTTCTCTGAGATGAAATATGGTACCTCTTGTATCCCCTCCTATAAAGTTTGACCTTTCCAGTAAGATCCACTCATTCATTTAGCACAGAGCCTTCCAGCATATGGTATGTCACTGGCCCAACAGATAGATCAAAACCCAATGAAAACCACTGCCATTGTGTCGCTTCTGACTCATAGTGACCCTATAGATAAGAGGAGAATTGCCCTGTAGGGTGTATAAGGCTATAAATCTTTACAGAAGCAGACTGCCTCATCTTTCTCCCATGGAGCAGCTGGTGGGTTCAAACTGCTGACCTCTGGGTTAGCAGCTGAATGCGGTAACCACTGTCCATCAGCACTCCTCAAAAGATCAAGTCCTGGGTACAAAGAAGTGTGGTGCCTGACTTCATGGAGTACATGTTGTTCTGGAAAGTTCTGGATCACTTTGAAACACCCATGGAACAAGGATTTCCCCAAAAGAAATAGGGTAAAAATGGAGATCGGGTAGAAATCTGTTACACATTCCAGAAAGTATAATCTAGAATGTTCTAGCTGACAACCAGTACAGCCT